AGAACTTTTTTGTTACCCTGTATATATATATATATATATATATATATATAATTTAAGCTTTTCTTTTCCGGACATAAAGTGCAAATAATTGCTCGAATGTTCTATATATCCGAGAAAGTTTGGCTATTCTCTTTTATTTTATTTTACACCCCCACACACACACACACACACACACACACACACACACACACACACACACATATATATATATATATATATATATATATATATATATATATATATATATATATCATCAGACAGCTCTTTCAAAGAAATTTCGGGAATTGAAGGAGGAAGGTTTGATCCCACAGATAATTCAGAAGATTATACGTTCCTCACGTACTCCTAACAGTCTTAGAGATAGGTGTGATTTATCTTTAGAAGAAAAATTAGGATTATAAAAGACAATTATAAAAGCCAAATATTAAATCAGAGAAATGAATTAGTGTTAAAATATCGACATAAAAACAATTTCAAATTTCCATAAGTTTAACTTTATTAGCTACTATATTTTTATAATATTCAGTCCCCTTTAACTCTTCAAATGTCGAATGTATAATTAATTCTAATTTCTATATCCCCACCTCTATAACCTCTTTACACTTTATTAATTGTACTTCATAAACCTCTCCTACTCTTCACAACTCTCTTTTTATTAATCCCTTACAGCCTTTTATCTATATAATTTAACTTTATATTTAAGGTCTTTTTATTCCTCTTTTAATTAATATTTCATTCTTCATATAACCCCAAATTAATGTCACAAGGTTAATATTCGGGTTTAATTTTATAAAACATCTTCCCTTTAAGACAAATACCTTTCATCCTCCCCTGTGCCCTGTCTCGTACCATCCGTCTGACTGAAACATTGAAATGGAGAAATTCTGTATTAGTTTAACGAATACCTAACACATATTTCTGGATTTGTATAAAACATGTCGTCATGAGGGTAGGTGCTGGAAAACACTATGTCTGGCAACATGGCTCTGCACCATTCGACACAAACAGAAGAAATAGTCTACGACTACATCACCCCTTTACATCACCCGTTACATCTGGCCACCTAACTCCCCAGACTGTAACTCCCTTGATTATTATGTGCGGGGCGCAATTGAGCGAGAGACCAACAAAATTCCTTGTAAGACCAAAGATGAACTGAAGCCAAGGATTATGGGAGCATTGACAAACAAGGAGGCCGTTCAGAAGAGTTGCAGAAGATTCCGAAGTTATCTGGAGGCCATTCTTGAAGCCAATGCCGATTTTATTGAATAAATTTACTCTAGTATTACAAGATATTTTTGTGTAATTTTGGTAAATATCACTTTTAAAATGAGATGTCAGTGTTATTTTCATTTTTGCGTCATTTAGACAACAATTTATCCACGCACCCTTAATTAGTTTAATTTAATTTAGTGGCTGTCGGTGTGTCAATCGAGCATTTGCTATTTGACAACAATTAACACATGACAACTATTGCAGGGAAAATTAACACACCCTCACTAATTTTAGATCATCTATAAAAGAAATTCCTACCTACGAATTTAAATATGATGCTACAAAATTAAAAATAAATATGAATTCTGATGTTATAGAAAAAAAATGGGGTAAAATATGTATAAATTTTGTGATCTACAATGACTGCTAATTATTTTACGGAATTTCTTTACAGTGATGTTCGGCTTTTCCAAATCTCCAGAGCCACTCGAGGTAGATGCTTATAGAGTACATTTTGTGTGGATATCTGGTCAAGTTAACGGTTAATGCGAGACTTGAACAGGTTACGATTATCGGGAAAACATCGTTTTCGTAGTCGACGGTGTCACAAAGCAGCAATACGCGAGAAGCAGCAGCTAGAGTGGACATTAGGTCTCACTAATGAAATACGCAGGGAATAGGGATGTAAAGGTAAGACCCTGTGGAACTAAGGAATTTAGTTCGTCTGAGCACTTTTCGTGGAAATAGCGATACAGCAGTGAGAGGCTTGCGACGTTTCGTCTGCCAGAACGTGGTTGCAGGGTGGGAAATAATTTCCCACGCACAAGGACGCGAAAACGTTTTTGGACTCTATCGAGACTGGGAAGTGAAGTTTTGGACGGCTACTGCCCATATATGGCCGAATTACTGTAGTACTCTTGTAAAGGTAGAGGATAAAACGAGTAGCCAGGTACTTACTGGAGCAGTATATGTTACTGACCATTTTTCTAATATCTTTAGCGATGGATCGTATGTACGCGCTCCACTTGAAGTGTAGACTGAGTTTAAGGCCTGAGGCACAGGGCCTCCCTGTGGAAACATCGATTCATTGTGATTGGTGATAGTTCAGGATGCAATCGGCAATGATGGGATGTAATTATTTTGTTTTTCGAGGGAGTAAATGTAACCGGCCAGTTTTTCTCTTTCTTAGATGTTAGAGCTCGATCATCTAGAATTTTGGAGTCGAGCCCATATACCGTTGTATCATCCGCACAGATATTAGAAAATAATCGTATATTCTTAGACAGATCATTTACATAAAGTAAAAAGAGGGTTGATCCGAGAAGTTAACCTTGGAGAACTTACCATTTACTAATTATTCGTTAGGTAGGACTTGATGACTTAAAAGACTCTTCCAGTCATTCTCTAGCTAGAGAGCTTGTGTGGTAATTCTTCCTGCCACACGTTGTCAAAGGCCATATCTAATGCTATGGTCCTTGAGATGATGCCTTGAGTTGTTTAGTGCCTCACTTATTCTGTGACTAATGGTATTTAAGACATCAGCAGTGGGCTGAGTCAATCGAAACACGTACTGCTTGCTGGTCAAGAAGTTGTTCCTATTTAGGTGATCAACAACATTTTTGTTGATGAAAGCCTCAAAAAGCTTGCTAATTACACTGAAGAGAGAGATGAGTCTATACTGAGAGATGAGGGTGGGTGATCACTCAACCGCGTTCTTGAAACCAGGCGTCCGCTTGACACCTTCCAGAAACTTGAGGAGGCTGTTTTAAATAATTTCGCTAATATTGTAGGTAATTCCAGGTTGGTATTCTTAAGGACAACCGTTATGATTTTGTCTGTGTCAGTGGCTTTCTTAGGGTCAAGACTTTTGATAAGGCTTGAGACTTCCAGGGCTAAAGTTGAGTTACAAGCAAATAACGCGGCGAAGAGCTTCGCCTTATCTGACGAGAAAGGGATGATCTCGGGGCCATTTATAATAGCGGGAACAGACGCTTTGCTTATATTCAGAATATGCAGTGCGATCTTCCAGAACTTTCGTGATCCAATTTACATTTTTCAAACATTAGTCTGTATTACTTGTGTATAGCTACACGTCGCATGTTCCATAAATTTCTTGCCGCAATTGTAGGTATTTCTGAATTAAGTGAAAGATACAATTACGTCGCTCTCTATGATAGATACTGAAATAGTGTTTGCTTTGAACTATGAAGGCAGCAGATTTAGGGGTGAATCAGAGTTTGCAGGTAATGTTTGAAGAAGGTTGAGAGAGAATCTTCCACCCATGTAAGATCTAAAGCTGTCTCCGTTTGTCTTCGTATAGCGAAAAATCGTTCTATTGAACGGCAAACTCGGGGTTGTATTTGGTTTGGCATCAACTTGGACGCTGACTAGAGAATGACCTGCCGAGGCCAGAAGTGGGTATTTCATTTTGTAGGGCAGGATGTGAGAAAGAGTTCAAGGGTTTTCACCTGATGTCCTGTCTCATCAGGAACTTAGTTGGGTACTTCAATGACCTGCGTTAGTTCATAGGCGATGGAGAAGTCCCTGCAGTCTCAGAGTAGAAGAAAATGCTGATGGCGTGAATTTGTTTAAGGTGAACCTCAACTTGCTAGGAAGTGACCCACACACTTGATTTTATGACCTTCCTCTGCGGCATATATGTAATGAGGTGAATATTGAAGTCACTACAGATACTTGAGGAAAATTCGGTGAGGATAACAATCCTCTCAGGTATTGGATCGAAAATTAGCTTCCCATCGTCTTGAAGATGATGGAGAATGAAAATGTATATGGTAATATGAATAAGTGCCACGCAGTAGCACGTATATGGGAAATAAGGCTCCTTGTTTGTTTTTTTAATCTGCTACAGGAAAAACCATCCTTGATATATATGCAAGGCCTGTGGCCGTGGCGATTTAGGTGGCTATGTTTGGCGATTAGCGGTGAGTAACCCGGAATTGTGTTCTCCTGCAATGAGATAGAGTTATCAATACCTATTTCAGACAGAACAGGAGGTCGAGTTCAGCCTCACTAAGATGGAGTTCCATCTCTGGAAAGTTGGAACGCAAATCTATCACATTTGTGTAGGAGATGGAGTCTACGTTTTTAGATCCTCATATATATGAGCGAACTTGTCTCGCTACCAAAGTTCTCAGGTTGATACGATGTTTCTGATCCAAAGCAGGAGTTTTGTTGCCTTGAATTCTCAATAGAAACACCTGTATTTTCTTTTCTGGATTGTCCCTTCATTAAGTGTGCTGGGTTTAGGCGTTATCAACCCAGTAGTCAGGGATATGAACCTCTGAGTAACTTCGAAGGAGGCTATCCTACCAGCAGATGTATAATATTCCGGCTATTCTATTGCCATTTTGACAATGGGTTCGGCACCGTTCGGTAGTCTCCAGTGGGGACTTTCAGTATCGCCACGGAGAATACTGTTAGGGCTGTATCTACAAACATTTCAATCCATATTATCCTGTGGGGGGGTGCTTCTTATCTCGTTAACTTGTCCTCTACCAAACCGAGTGCTATCCACACATGAACTCAACTAAATTGAACAAAATCAGTAAACCAAACCTCAAAAATTGTAAGATTTTTTTTTTTTAGATAATAATTATTGACTGATACAAGTCATACTAATCAACCCATAGCTGGGGTAGATGAGGCGGATTCATATCTTTCCCAAAGATATTTGCGCGAATATAAAGAATCCGACTGGAATTTTTAACGGCTCTCCGATTAACAATTCTTTGTCGTTACTCTTACACCACCCACGCATTCAACGTTACAGTGCCTGGTATTCCCAAATTGTCACCCATCCACGTACTGATCAAGCTGCATGTTGCTTTATTTCGGTGATCGTACGGGAAGCGGTGTTTCAACGTAATATGGTCGCATGCCTCATGATTCGGAGCGAGATTTCATCATTATTAGTATTTGTCACGATTATAATATTACCTAAATACACGATATTACCACCAACCGGCAGTTTCTAATATATATATATATATATATATATATATATATATATATATATATATATATATATATATATATATATAAACAGGAAAATCTTTTCATTGATGTCTCAATTGACTAATTAGGAATTAGATTTCCTAGAACAAAGAAAATGACTTCCTTCCTAAAACGTTTTTAGTAATGTCTTAGTATCCAGTAGGGAAGATTCCTTATTCAATTAGTTCCATTCTGTAGCTGATAAGTAGTCAAAAAGTCTTCCCCGCTGGAGACAATAAAATTTAGCCGATACAAAACTCACACTATGTGCCATTTATTACAACTAAACATTCTGCTTGTTAAAAATATGGCTTTGGATTTTCAATGAAAAATCTAAGCAGTTTGACTTTGGGGTTTTGGTCTGAAGAAAGCCAAGGTGGCGACCAAATTCAAAGCGACAAATGTAGTTCTTCCAACTGCGTGTACCAAAATGCAGTAAAATGTTTCAGATCCCATCAAAATTTATTTCTTCTTCGATTATTGTAATAAATAGATTTTTAATAACCACTGATACCTTACATCAGTATCTAACAAGTAGATAGCTTTATAAACGCTGATCGGTGTTCCTTTACATAAGTTCAAATGAATTGATTTAAAAACAATAGATACTAAGTAAACTTCAAAGATATTACTAAGATTTCACTAACAAAAGATTAAACATTTCAAAAGAAATTTACATATATGTATATATGTATGTATAGCTGTCCACTCGTATTCGAGTATACCTGTCTATTAGGGCGGCTATCCAATCCCTATTGCAGGCGTATTTTTGTTTATTCAACACCTACAGAGCCCACCTGTGGTTTATACTTCAACTATGCCGAGAAGACCTTAGTTACAGTTTCTGGGAAGGAGGTGTTATCTAGCGTGATCAAAAATTTGAACATGGCCACTACGTTCAAGCCCTCAGCCATGATGATTTCTGACATCCAATTGCTTCAAGCCAGAATCGAAAACCGACCGATTTGTTATCAGTCAAAGATTCTACCCCTCCAAGCTATCGTCGCACGGAAGAAGAGTCGACGACCTTCTACAATCACATAAATTGGTTTTCCTTCATTCGTTAGTGTGTTTGGGATTTCCATAAACTGCTTCTTGTTACAGCCTTGCTTCTAATGGGCGAGGTATCCAAAACCTCCCCCAAATTGAGAAAAGTCAAAGCTCAAATGGTCCTCCGATATAAATAAAGGAACTCTGTGAAGAGAAACCTTTAACTTCCTCGTTCCTAAGTATTAAGTCTGTATTCTGACAGTTTTGGTTGTCAGGATTCAACCTGACAGCGATTTAGTTGCATCTCCTGTGGCCAACAGGATGTCCCACATCGCATTATTCCATCGTGGTAGGATTTTGGTTGAAATTTTAAGGCTTTTTACGACCTCCTCCGTAACGTTTCTATTGACTACAATCAGTTTTTAGATCCATTGTCAGTAGTGAAATTGTACGGGTGTTCACCATTTCTATCAGAGACGGCACAACTCCTTTCCTTTAACAAATGTTTCAAATTGTTCTTTAAGTTTTTTTTATAATACTCTGGTCCTTTTTATGTGGGCCTATACTTTGCCCATGTCAGAAGGGTCACTTCAGTAGGTGAAGCATTAGGAGAACTTTGATGTTGGCACACCCACGTCACTACACACAATCAAAATACTACCACAAAAACCGGAATCCAAACGACGATGACAATAATGGATATAAAAACACTGACGATGGTTAGAAAAAAATGAAACTTACTTCCACAGAATATCCAACGAAGCTTTAAATAAACCAATCAGGGAAGATCAAGCCCTGGTTCCCTTTCTTTAATCAAACGCTAGCACAGACCCTGGCATTTTTAATAAACTGGACAAAAGTAGACCACGTTTTCCGTGCATCTGATTGGATGTTTGTAACGACCAATCCACTGCGCGAACTGACTTTTAAACGGTCGACAAAGTCACTGAATTTTCTTTCTTTCTTTTTTTTTTGGTGGATAGAAGCTTCAGTGGATAACAGATGAGGTAATTTAACATTTTTAAACTTAACCCTCTATTATTATTTCCCTTACTCTAAAAATTTACGGTTTTAATTTTTTAATTTCTAGAATAAAATATTATAACTTTAAACTACTTCTAAACATTATATCATTTGAATGATTATCGAAGTCAACTATTAGTAATTGTGGTGGAGGGATAAAAAACTACTCACTCACCACTACTATCACATTTTTATAAATATCGTTTAAACTGACTCCTACCATTATGGCAGCTCAGTTATCGTTTTAAAGGACGTACTCTCAAGTTTTCAAATAGATATTTTGGTCTCCATAAACATACCGTGTCTTAAGTATACTCAAATTAGGCAACGGATAAAATAGACAACAATGTTCATTAAAGTAGACTAAATAAATACTCTATTTACAAATTATGAAGGCGGTTAAAATAGAATAAACTAAGAAATAATCATGTAAATAGGTTAGATTACGAAAGGAATCGGGAACGATCAGCCTTACAATATATCTTAGGCATATAACCGTTAAAAGATAAATAATAATAATTAAATACGAATGAAACACAAAACATCTTACGATATATATATATCATGCTTAAAACCGATAAAAAAATTAAAAATATATAACGACATGCAAAGAATAACATGTCAAACGATGATCGAAAAATACACTTATTAAATACAATATATACAAATTATGCTGGCGGTTAAAATACAGTAAAATGCGAAATATTCGTGTGAATAGACAAAATTACGAAAGGAAAAAGTCTTACAATCTATTTTATGCTTATAACAGTTTAAAAATAAAAATAAATACAAATATGAATGGAAGACAAAACGCCTTACGATGTAAAATCGCGTTTAATGCTGCTAAAACATAAATATTAAATTACAAAAACGGGTATAAAATGTGTATAACATAAAAAAAAAACAAAACAAAAACTATTCAGATTTACAAATAACCCACTTAACAAACTGACTGTTCCTGTACAATCCAAGTCGTGTATTTAAACATTTAAAATGATATCTATATGATTTCTACTTTAAAATTTATACTATATTAAAATTATGTTATTTACACATCTCCCTCTGCCCCATTATTTTAAACTATTTTGTTTCATTGGAGTCCAAAAATTATCACATTTAATCCATAACCATTTTGCTGTCCTTTCTCCTGTATTAGTTATGGTCCGAATCGCCTTCCTTTTGTTAGCACCTACTAAGCCAATATCAGTTAGGGCTTTGCATAAGGACCTTGCAGCAAAACTTCTTGCGCCCACTTCGATTAGCTACAGCTTGTTTTCTATCCATTGTTTTTACAACTCGTTAGTAACTCATCATATTTTAGTTCCATGGTCTTCTTCTGCATGCTCTTCCCAAGGCACTGTCAATTCCCATATTATTACTTTCTTTATATTATCTGAGAAGAATATTATGTCTTGGCGCAATGATGTTTGAATGATATGGTCAGGGAATTTTCGTCTTGTTTTTAAGTCGGCCCTTAATTCCCAGTCCGTTGCTTATAACAAAGTATTTTTTGTGTACTTTTTCTTTTTTTCCCCAGCTTTAAGAATCTCTATAGATCTTTTATCGGGATTTAAAATATTAGTGATGATGGCCATGCTAACTATCTCTGCTAGATCATGTAAAATTTGATTATGTCTCCATCTATACCGGCCTTCCGTAAGTGCTGCTTGACAGCTACTAAGGATACGTTTTAAAGTTACTTGACGCGTATACAATGAGCATATGGGCGGTTTTGTTTTATACCATAAGTGGAGGTTAACGGGACTGGGGTGGGTGTCATATACGGTCTGAATTAGGGACTTTATACCGGTGTCATTTCGCCATATATCGGATCATTTTATCTTTCTATAAGTCATAGATACCCATTTTTAGTCGCTTAGTGCCACCATTTTTACCAACCTTTTCACCTCTTCACATTTAGGTATTTCATATTGTTTAAGATTTTATTTTTATTTTCCTTTAGCCCTGTCCACCTGAACGCCCACGCATCCTGTAGGTACGGCCCCTAATAAAGCTTTTTCAAGAAGTCTTTATTTAGCTACCAGTAATTCATTTTTTGCCTCCTATTTCCTTCCAGAGTAGCTTTGGAGAATTGTACAGCATTGGTGTTCAAACTTTGGTGACTCTGAATTCCTCTACTAGGCTTCTGAAAGGAAGTTTCAGAGCACTGGAATTGCCGTATAGGGCAGCGCTAGTCAAACTTTTCGGTAGACCTAACCATCTCCATAATCGTACGCCAATTCTTTTCCCAGTTGTTCTGTGTGAGAAGTCTTGAATTCATAGATGGACAATGGTCATAGGATTTTGAGAAGAATGGCATGCTGATAAATCCATGCTTTAAAGCGGCCAGGCAACTCTCTTTAACCACATTTCTAATTTATTCTTCGTTTCCTGGATTACTGTTGCGTCTCTTAGGGAGTGATCTATGCGTTTCCCAAGTCTCTTTATTGGCTTTTCCTTAATTGTTGCTATGTTTTCCCCGGAAAGTCTAAACCGCTTCTTGTCCAGTATTTTGCCTTTTCTTAAAAACGAGCGACCTTGATTTCGAGGGATTCAAACCTATTCAAAGTTGCCCTTTTTCTAGACCGGTAGCCACACTAGGCTATAGAAAACAGTATTTCCTGCTACCCGTAACTGTGAGAAGAGATGGATTCTTACCTTTCCCAAGACTATTAGCACGTAACTAAATGAAAGGATTTCGAGCATTGCTCTCCGATTCCTCAATCCGAGCCGCAACCCATTAAACCGTCGTGCCTCTCTCTCTCTCTCTCTCTCTCTCTCTCTCTCTATATATATATATATATATATATATATATATATATATATATATATATATATATACCTTTCAGGTTCGGTAGTTTTGTAAGCCTCAGTATTAGAAACTTTTACTTGATTTAGAACTTTGATTGCAAGAACTTATATATGTGTATGTGTGTGTTTGTATGTATACATTTATACACGCACACACACACACACACACACACACATATATATATATATATATATATATATATATACATACACGAGTCTGTATATGTTAGATTATTCTCTGTACTTAAATATGTATGAGTATAACTTACAATCGCACGCCTATTTTAGTGAAAACCAGAATAACAACTCTTCTTATAAAGGTTGAAAGAAGAGAGCCAATCGAAGAAGATTTGTTCTCTGAATCACAAATCAGAAATCGATCTTCATTCTTTTTGTGCATATCTAGCAATTTTATCTTTCCGTTTCGAAGAAAATTATTTTTTTTTATTTCCAACTTGCGTTCTATACAGTTCTGTTTTTCCGTTTTACTCGGCTTCGAGGTTCTTGCCATCGTAATTCTTTCTAACTTCCTGTCTTGCGCTAAGCACACAAATTATGAGTCAATGGGACTTCCGTTCAGAGCAGCATCATGGCTGTTGATTTTCTTATGATAAAGACTTTATTTCCAGACCGGAAGTGTTCACCGATAAGAAATCACCGAAAACTACTTTGGGCAAGATACGATACGAGTGAAATGAAATTAATAACGGCATCAGAAAGAACTTTCCAAGTCATAAAGAGGAAGGTTTCAGTCTTGAGAGCTCCATTTCCGGCTTTGTGGGGGGGGTTATATTCACATAAGTTTTGCAAATGCATTTCCGACAGATTTCCCTATTGTTTCTTTATCAAACTCTCGTCATTGTTTCTCTCGATTTGAAAATCTTTTTCCTTTCGACTTAACATATCTAAAATCTTTTCATCAAAACACTTTCATTCCGGATTTCTTTCCTTTTGTCATTGTCTCTTCATTTTATCCCTCATTATTTTCGTCCTTCATTTACAAAATCATAAAAAGTTTCCTTTATCGGACTTACTGTTAAAACCGGAGTAAATAGATATGTCGTCAGCATATATACCTAGTTGGGAAATGATGACATCTGGAATGTCGTTTTTGAAGATAAAAAACAAAGTAGATCTAAGGATAGAACTTTCGAGGAGACCAGCATTAATATGAAAGGATCTAGAAATGTGATCTTTCAGCACGATATTCCTGGCACGATTTCTCAAGAAAGATTGGATCAAATCAAAAATTCGTTCGGAGAGACACTCATCTTTTAAATAAGACCAGTATGCCAAACCTTCTCAAACGCTTTCTAGATATCTAAAGTCCTTTCCATAGTTCAAATCAAATTTCACTTTAAATCAATGATTTATATTAAATACAAGCACATTTCCCTACGGCTGGGATTTGAGGCCAGAATATAAGTTTATAAAGTAACACAAACGGACTTACTACAAAAACAGGAGTAAATAGTTTTGTCATCAGCATCGATGTCCTTTTTATAATTAAAATTAAATTTCAATTCAAATCAATATTTTATTAACGACAACTAATTTACGAATAAACATTATTAATAATTGCTTGGTATAATCGTCACGTTCGGTGCTTGAAAAACGTTTAAAATGAAATTATAAATATGACTTGTTGAAGTATATAAAATATTTTTCGTAAATACGATTTTAATGCAGATGAAAAGTGAATATTTTGAAAGCGTGCCTTTGTCAGAGAAGTTGCATCAGATTTCTGTACAAACTTTATTCCCGATATAGTTATTTCCCTGGAAGGAATTTCATGCAAACAAGAATTTGAATTTACTCCCAAAGAGCATAGTCAAATATTATTAATTTTTGATGAGCATTTCTTCCATATAAATTTCAAATGCTTTCATTCTTTTAACAGTGTTAGTAGTAGTAATATTAGGTGGAAATTATTGTTAGAGATGGTTATCAACAATGATTAATTTTTGACAAGTATTTACCTGATATTAATTTTGGTTGCTTTTCATAGTAACTACTGAGATGTCAGTATGCGAATGTTTGTAAAAAAAAAGCAATGTTAAACGAAGTAATTATTTTAATGTTCAAATTATTTATCTCAGAGTATCCATATCTATCTATCTATCTATCTATCTATCTATCTATCTCCATTCTTTCCATATATCTATATCCATTCTTTTCCATCTATCTACCTATCTGTCTAATAAACAAATTTTCAATTATGCCATCCAATTTCCTTCCTCCTCATAGGCACACACACACACACACACACACACACACATATATATATATATATATATATATATATATATATATATATATATATAATGTATATTTGGATAGCAACCATTCTTTTAAACATGTTTCGTTAAATATGACAGACAAGGGAAATATAATTACTTTTTTATTTTTATTTTTTTAGCGTCCTAACATTTTCCCGTTTGATGGCAGTAAGGAAGTGCATAAATTGTCCATATTTGCTATTGTCCCAAGCGCATTCGGACACTTCTCTAGCGATTTTCAAGGCCATTTGTTTGAGGTGTTGTTCATTTCTCTTCATGTTTGACAGTTAAAGATGCATTTTCTGTGTTGTTTTGAAGACTATAAGTTCGTTTATACGAAGCCTTCACGTGTTGAGCGCAGTTTGAATTCGAGTAAGCGTTTTTTTTATATAAATTAACACTTCATTCTCACTGTTAAATAAGGTGAAGTTGAAAGCAGGAGTGAGTTTAATATACAGGGACTCAATTATATCGAGATGTTTCCGGTAATATGATTTATATAGAATTTTAGAGTTTATATTGTGTGTGTAAGCAATGTCTCCAAAATGCAGTGCTTTTGTTTTAAATATCTATGCATAAAGTTTAAATATGTCTTTATTGTATAATGAAAATAATCCTTTAAATTTATATTTCATTTTCCTTCCTTCTGATTGTGATAAATGCCCATTCAAGGTTTATATAATTATTATTGTATTATTATTGTTATTATAAATATGTTGTTTATGAAGTAAACAAATCTAAAATGAACAAAAATATGAAGGAGACATAGAAAAATGCCGATCTCTTGTATTGTCTTCACAATACAGATTTATAAATTGATAGAGAAAACTTAAAAATTCGTAAAAGCAGAATGAGTGAGGCAGCCGACAGGAAAAGAAAGACTGCAAGCAGTAAATATATTTACGCGTGCAGAGAAAATGTACGCAGAACACTTGTGAAACTTTTTAAATTGTAACCAAGACACGAAAAAGAAATTGTTTGTTGGAAAACAGTTGAATAATCCATTTAAGCAGACAATTTCTAGTGAATAAATCCAAGATGGTTGCGAAATGTAGCAGATAGATGACAGAATATTTTCTGATATACATGGAATGCGACCATGTGGTTCATTTCTTTTGTTGTTATGGGAAGAATGATTCACAAGTTAACAGAAGGATTCATTTTATATTATTTTCTAAGAAAACAAAAACATTAATATCGTTGGTAAAACGCGTGCAATATGTATTGAATGAATGCATCACACAGGAAAACATTTCAACAAAAGATTCGAAAATATATTATCAATTCATTCATTCATTCTATCTATCTATCTAACTATCTATCTATCTATGTTTATTATTTAAGTCTGTTCCTATCTATCTATCTATCTATGCTAGGCTTTGAGGATCCCCTTAAAAGGCCTAAAAGAAATAAATACATATGAGATCCGCTAATAAAGAAAAATGAGAGCATGTCTTCAAACGCAACAACTGCAATCAATGCCTGGGCAGCAGCAGCAGTTAAAACATGACATCCATCAGCAGCAGTAGCAGCTTAATCAGCAGCCAAGCTTAGATTTAAATCTCTAAGTTTACTCCAGTAAACAGGACGATGGCCTATTGTGTAAATGCCCTCAGTGGAATCAGGTGAATAAAGAACAGTATTAAATAAAATAAGAACTAGACGAGATATCCCGAGACATTGGAAGTGGAACGAGATCAGTCTACCCCCGTAGATTAAATAAAAAATTCAGATGGTAAATCAGATCGAGGTCACAACGGCTGAAACGTTGTGACAAAAAACAACAAAAGTGGAGATAATGGCCCGTGTCTAAAGGAAAAAAAAATCTTAATGGAAACATTGCGAATTAAAAAGGTCGATTATTTAGCAATATTGGTATTATTTCAAAATAATAGCTTTCTTAAAATACTAGGATATTTGTCCTGTGACTAAATTTAAAATACTGATTTTCAAGGTTAATATAGACTCACTATTTTGAGGTTTCGTGTAACACAATCATTTTGCTTCATTTGACCACATTTTGTATCATTTTTTGATTTGGTGTAACCTTTGAGGACGTCAGTTTTATGACTCGTCACACCTTCCTGTGCTCTGTAGCTCTAAGCAACATTAGCCCTTAAACCACCACCTACTGCTTGTCATCCATTTGCAAAAATTCATTAAGTAAATTACTCTGTAGTTCCCTCTCGCCATCTGCCGGGAATATCGGTGATTTTTAAATTCTTCAAGTCAAACTTATTCATAATGTGCCACGGAAGTTTCAAATGTTTTTTTCAAATTTTGAATGTAAGTATCTTTTTCGTTTTAATCCTCCTTCAGAGCCAAATTCTTATCGTTTCCTGCCTCGTTTTCATCTGTGAGGCTATTCTCCAGCACTTACAGCTAATATAGAAGGTTTAATATTTTGTTTAACCTCTCGAAGACATCCATCGCTATTTGAATGCGACTTGGAATCTGTTCGAATTCTATCAAGATTAGTTAAAATTCTGTGCTTTCTAGAATTTGATCTCCAATTTGTAGCCCACTCTTTGAATTGTATTTCTTGCCGACGACCATATTGGGCTGTTAGGAAAATATGGCCGTTTTTATACTTGAATTGAATGAATTTAAACAATGTTGAAATCAGTCAAAAAAGGAACCCGTAATATCTGTAAATTACAAGCTGATTTACGCCTTTAGATAAATAAAGTCTAAATTTTTGGACACCAAGGAATCTTTGTTTACAGTGTTTGCATCTTCTTTGAAACGGGATCTCTGTTGCCTTAAAAGATTGCCAAGATGTTTGAAAAATTGTAGTCATTTGGCGAGTGACCAGAGAAAAATATGGTGGATGTAGAATAGTCTCTTATTCCAGGTCGGTGAGATTCTACAGTCTAATTCTGGTAACAGCCTTGCCATAAAGCAGAATTGAAACTCATCGATTAACATGAACCGCATTTTCCTTAACTGAATGTGCTTTTCATCGAGATACTCACAGTCAAAACGGCAGTAATGCTCTGTTTAGATTCTAAAAAGCTGTAATGCCTAATGCCAATGGCGAACGATCAAACAGTCAACATATTCTTCTGATGGTGGAATTTTGCTTTTATAAAGTGTTTGGGTCCTTCGTTATGTTCAAGTCACTATTCGATCATGATATAGTTCATACGAATCTCAAAGATGCAGATCAAAATCTTGCCAGTTTCCTTGAAATGATTAAGATCAGGATCTTTCGAATTTTACATCAAAATGTTCAACACATTCGCAAACGTTGAACGTTTTGACTTTCACTCACTTCATGTGGAAGCCATTTATCAAGTTTCTTCATCTTAGCAATTTCCTTGAATGGTTCGATAATGTTGAAATGCTTACACCCATTATCTTAGACATTTCTCTGACATATTGACGTGGCTTTTTTCTTAAATAAAATTTTGAAATATTACTTGCCAATTGCAGATGGACGTCCTTTACCACATTGAACTTCACGACTCGAAACACCACTGCATAAATTCAGAAACCAGCTTCGTACTTCCCCGATCACAAGTGGACCCTTCATCTCATACGCTGTTAATGCTGGTAACAGTTTGAGAATCATTATGACCAAGCTTGAACTCGTGCAAAACAAAGTAAACGCAACTCTTCTTCATACATGTTCAATATGAGAGCTATATAATGTTTTAACCCATTGACTGCCAAATATTTTAATGCTCATTTTTGACTCAGACAGGTGTCTTAGGAGTTTATTTATTTCTTATGTTTAATTTCAGTAGTTACCATTGTCGTTTTATAGAAACTAGAACATCAAATATATATATGTGTATAAACCATCAAAAAATAATATTGATTAGAAATAATAAAAAAAAAATCAAAATATTCATTATTTTTCTACTCGTGAAATGTAAAATTATAACAGAAGTGTTTACTTAAGGCTTATAATAAAAACTTTAAAGGCTAAGTGTTGTAAAATATACCTCTGCAAATGCAATGTATTTAAGCAATTCAATGTAAATACAAGGAATAACGTGTAGTGTGTTTAAATTTAACAGATCTCCAGATGGGGCTCATGGCAGGTAATGGATTAAATTAAATTCTGAAAGAGACTGATATGAATTAACAGAGGAGACTCTACACATTAGGAATAAGTAATGTATTTTTGTGAATAACATGCAATGTGCGATGGGCAAATTGTCCACTGAATTACAGAAAATTGAGAAAAAAAAAACACTGACATCTCATTTTAACAGATATCTTTATCAAAACTACACAGAAATATCTTGAAATAGTAAAGAATTAACGACGGCCTGTAGATGAGTTCAGAATTTCTTGCAATTCTTCTGGACAGTCTCCTTTGGTGAATGTTGCCATAATTCTTGCCTTCAGTTCATCTTTGGCCTTACAAAGTGTTCTGTTGGTTTTTCGCTTAACTGCACCCCACACATAATAATCAAAGGGGTTGGTGTTTGGGGAGTTAGATGGCTAGTTGGAATGAGTGATGTGGTCGCAGAAATTGTCTGACAGCCATGCCAATGTTTTCCGGCTTCTGTTGCATGGTGCAAAGTCCTGTTGCCAGACATAGTCTTCCAGCAGCCACTCTCTTGACCAAGTGCAGCACTAACTACTCAAAGAACTTGATGTAGGCCTCTTTGTTGACTCTGAGACCCTGTGGGAAGACGAATAGAGGCATAACTTCGCCATCACTAGTGATCACTCCAAACACCATGGTACTCATCATTAGACTCATTCAACTCTTTCGGAATCCTCTTCAGTGTCCTCAGATTAACACCGAAACAATCTGAAATATTGGTATTGAATCTTCCGGTGCGAATGCCAAGCAGTACAGCATGCTGTTTCCAAATTTCTTGCGGAGTGTATTGCGTCAAGATGCTCTTTTTCTAGAGACAGTGCCCAAATGACCCTACTATACTGTGCCGTCGACA